TTCTCCTTTCTAATGCGTATAAACCCGTAAATAATCCGTATATATTTAAAAACATAAATCCGCCTGAGCCCTACAGAATTTACGGAAAAGAAAATTGTTTCCTGTTCTCCCACCATTACTCGAAAGCATTTGTTGTGCCGAGCCCTTCGGGCACTGACAGAAAACAGCAAAGTATAATTCGCAACAAACTATCAAACTTTCTGAGTTCAAACTGAACTGGATAATTTCAGAGGTCCTGTTCTGGAACAGCTCAGTGACCAGGTGCGGAACTGGTTTCACGAGTTTAAAGCCCAAACTGGCACAATTCCTGAATATACCGGCTCTGAGCGCAGTGCTTCCAGACAAATGCCTAGCAGACAAGGTGAAAGTGACACCACAAACGCCCAATTGCATGTTTAAATGGCAACAGCCCAATCTACTCTATTTAGGAACAGACAGTGAAACCAGTAAATCGACTCCTGGCTCTTCAAAAGAGTCCAAAATGACGAAAACGAGAGCCTCAAAAAGTGGCAAAGAACCAAAGGCTGCTGAGGATGTGGAGGACGAGGAAGACTGGCGGTGTAAGGCAATCGTTTCTACTTTTGCGCCGGAGTTAAATGTGCGGTAAATGCCTGAAAAAGTTTTGTTATTCCTGCAGTTTGATTGATCCCGATAGGAAAGAAGAGTACGAAGAATGGTGGAGGAACAAGGACGAGTCCTCGAATCCAAGGCAGCATCATTACAAGCACATCATCGAGCATGAGCAAATGACCGAAATGGAGAATGAGCTAAGGAAAGTTGTTGATGAAATGATGAAGGCAGAGCTGATGCTGCTCCAGGTAACTTCAGGACTTTTTGCTGCCTTGTCTTGCCCCGACAGTCCGATGTTCAATTTTCACTAACGCAATGCTTTTAGGACGCTTTCGACAAAGATCGGGGCCATAAAAGTAAGAAAAAGTCGAGTAAAAAATCGCGAAAAGCCATGAAAAAGGGCAAGAAGAAGAAGGAGAAAGATTTGACGCCAGACCGAACGACGCAGTCTTTGTTTGAGGAGTTGGTGGCTAACGGCATTATTAAACGGTTGGTAAATCCAGCACTTTAAGCTTCAACTAATTGCGGATTGTTGAGCGCAGATACCCCGAAGTGTGGATGCAAGACTTCAGAGGAGAACGATCGTTCCATCCGCCAGCAGCTCACAATAGAGGCAAAGAGCCGCCTTTCGATCTCGGAGATATTCGTCAAGTAAGGGCTTTAAGCGCAGTTTTCAATAAAAAAAATGAATGTTTCGGCCATATTTCATCCATCATCAGGGCGTGGAAGACCCTGATGATCAGGTTGATACAATTTTGTTGATGTTAACGGTCTTTGGATTTATAGGTTTTAACCGAGTACTGTGTAGTCCCACTGCTGTCTGCGCGACTGCACCGCAATACGCCCCATATAAAGTCGGTTTTATTGGCTGGACCGAAAGGCTCCGGCAAAGACATGCTGCTTCACGCAATTTGCAACGAAATTGGTAAAACTAAAGCAGTTAAAAACCTGCAGTTGCGTTTTAAAACGCCACTTTTCTTTTAGGAGCGGTTTTATTTGATCTCACTCCGGCCAACATTGTTGGGAAATATCCAGGAAAATCCGGCCTAATCATGCTAATCCATCTGGTGGTCAAAGTGTCGCGGTTGCTGCAGCCTTCGGTTATTTACATGGATAATGCCGAGCGGCCTTTTGTGAAAAAGGTCCCGAAAACTGATCGCACCGACCCAAAGCGACTGAAGAAAGATTTGCCCAAAATGGTGAAAAGTGTGTTTCCATATCGGATTTTTTTCAGTTGGCTGATGGTGAGTTTTCAGATTTTGGGACCGAAGATCGTGTTATTTTAATAGGGGCAACCAATTGCCCGTGGGAAAGTGACCAGAAGCTGTTGCAGCAGGTTTACCAAAAGTTCCTGATCATTCCCCGGCCCAAATACAGTTCAAGGTATGCTAGCAGTAGAATTTTGGAAGCGTTTGGCCGCGATACACCCAACGATAGAATAAAGTAAGTTTAATAATTACAAATATGACAGGTTGAGCGTAAACTTACTTTGCTCTATCGTTGAGCCACCCTGCACAGTCATCCTTTCAGTGCAATTTGATAACATTTAGAAATTTATAAATTTAATTAATCAAAGCCTCCAATTGTAGATACGCAATTTGGACTCACCTCCTGAACCGGCATATGCCAGTGAGTTGGAAGTTCGATACCAGTGTAGTCAGCAAGATTTCCGACGGATACACTGTTGGTAGGTCTCAAGTCCCCCAAGCCTTTCAGTCTGTTGTTAATGCGATTTTGCATTGTAGGCTCCATAGTGAGTACAGTGAAGGAAGTGATCACCGTAAAAAGAATGTTGCAGCTGAGGATTCACCCTCTCAGTCCCCTAGAACTGGTCAATGCCCTTTGCAAAAGAACTCCGGTTTATAAAGAGGCAAGTAAACCGTGCCTCATTCTGTTCGATCTAATGAGGATGAATTGTGTAGGAGGATGAAGCTTTGGAGTTGTGGTGGAGCAAAGTTCCGATGGTGCGAAGAAGACTGAGAGCCGTCGAAATGCTGATCGAAGAGGAGGAGGAAATGATGGCTAAGCAAGCGAACGCAAAAAAGAAATAGCTTGAGTCGGTGAGTAGGAATGTTATTTATTTTGAAACAGTTCTGAACTCATCGCGATATTTTCAGGTATACTGACTCCTCGCAGCGCTCGCCATCACAACATGATAAATATAAATGCATAATCATTGATCATATTAATAAAAATATACAAAAAAACAATCGATATGATAAAATAAGCTTATATATAATAAACGTTCATATCCAGAGACAGTTTACTTTCTTTGAATCTGTAAACTAACAAGAAGTTGATTCAAGAAATGCCCTTCAACAAGATGAAACCTAGAGCTGAGAAGAAGAAGCATATACAAACCGTATGAGAAAAATAATGGATGAGGAATCTGAGCCAGTGGTGGTGGAAAGTGAGTTTCTAAGCAACATTTTAACGTGATAAATAAGTTATGTGGCTTTAAATTTTTTGTAGATTCAAGCGATATGAGCTACATGTCAGAATGCCTTGTGAAAGGGTAGAAGAATTCCAGCTTTCAGAACATGTTAAAAATTTAACCGCGTTACTGTTATCTGTTTTGGCAACGTGCATTTTTCAAGTCTAACTAAAACATTAATCAACCGCACAGGCAGTTGTTGCACAAAGATTGCAGATATCTTAAAGAGGACCGGGAATCCTGATAGCATTTACGATAAATCCACTTGCTTTGTGACTATCCAAGAAAAACCGTGAATGTTGCGAGCCAGTAATTTATAAACCACTTTAGAATAAAAAGTGAATTTAATATACGTAAGTCTTTTTCAGAATGACGCTGAAAATCGGACGAATACCCAAAGTTTGAACATCAGTAACACCAGTCAACCGAAAATTAAAAAATCTGCAAAAAAGACGCACCATCTATACCCTACCAGGCAGAAGAAATAAGGCTTCTGGTCGTAAAGCCAGTAAATTGAATGATTCAAAGTCACCACTAGCTAATACATTCGAACTAGAAGACGAGATAATGGTAAATAAAACAGCACCAAAATCGAAGAAACGCAAGATCAACTGATAAAAGTGAGATTTTGGAGGCAGGGTCCAACCAACCTGAAACGTCATCGAAAACTGCCACAGTTATCGGAAAGAAACTGATATTTCCGAGCGAGTAATTTACCAAATACTACAGGATAAAACCGCATTTAATATACCAAAATCTTTTTTAGGATGACATTGAAAATCAATACTACGTACTTTATGCAAAGAGCGGCGCTTTTTACCCTTTCTCGCTTTCGGTTGCTTCCTGTTATTGACGTCCAAACTTTCTGTATTTGTCTGATTTTCTTCTGTGGCCCCTTTTGCGGCTTTTGCTGTGGCTTTTTTACCGTTACCAACGGTTAGCGATTTTACTGATTGTTTCTTTACCGAATCCCCTTTCTTCGTTCGTGATTTGGACCGGTTGGAGTCTTTAACTTCAAGGCCTGGTAATGATGAGTTTTCTTGAACTGCTGAATTCTGCTTTTCTTTAGCTGCTCATTTATTTCCCGTGGGTTTCGACTTTGCTTGATTTTCCGTTGTCTCGCTGTCTGAATTCAGTGCACTAACTTGCGGTGACTTTGGATCAGATAAACTCATCATTACCAGACCTTGAAGTTAAAGACTACAACCGGTCCACATCACGAACGAAGAAAGGGGATTCGGTAAAGAAGCAATCAGTAAAATCGCTAACCGCTGGGAACGGTAAAAAAGCCACAGGAAAAGCCGGAAAAGAGGCTACAGAAGAAAATCAGACAAATACACAAAGTTTGGACGTCAGTAACAGGAAGCAACCGAAAGGGTAAAAAGCGCCGCTCTTTGTATAAAGTACCAGTCCCACAAAAAAGGCTGCGAATGCAAAAGATAGAAAATCTGATCCAAATTCACAAGTTAGTGCACTGAATTTAGAAAGCGAGACAACGGAAAATCAAGCAAAGTTGAAACCCACGGGAAATAAATTAGCAGCAGAGGAAAAACAGAATTCAGCAGTTCAAGAAAACTCATCATTGCCAGACCTTGAAGTTAAAGACTCCAACCGGTGCAAATCACGAACGAAGAAACACAAAACACGAAGTTTGGAGGTCAGTAACAATCGATATGATAAAATAAGCTTCTACCTAGCCAGCCCTGTTTCCTAGTTTCTTCAACACCTTCAAGCCCTGCTCTTCGTATTCCTTGCGCGATAACCAGAACTCATCGCGGTCTTTCATCACTTCGGCCAGAACGGCGCCCCCAATAAACACCATGTCTTTTCGTCGCGGCGGGTCTTCGATTCGGATCTTGAACTTGTTCAATTTATCGGTGTCGTTTTTCAACACTCTTTCCAAATAGAGTTGCTTGATTTCGCGCTCAAGCCGCGAAGGCAGCCCTGGATACATTGTCGATCCGCCCGAGAGAACTATGTGCTTGTACAGCTCGGGACGCATATCAATATCGGCAGCCTATAATGAAACAGACTGGATTTAAAAAAACGTCGGCAAAAATACGCGAAATTTACCTGAATGGTGTTGAAGATCAACTCGGCAATGCCCTGCCCTTCCACGTTGATCAAGTGGGGCTGAAATAGGGCTTCGGGGGCCTCGAATCGCTCCCCGCCCACTTTAATCACGCGGCCGTCCGGAAGCGTGTAGGGCTCCACCAGCACCGTCGTTTCCAGCGCCAGCCTTTGCTCGGTCTCGATATCATATCCAATGTAGCACAGCTTCTCTTTCATCATTCGAACCTGAAGTGTACGGGCAAATTAACAGTGAAATCGGTGTCCAGGACAGTGAAGTCGTACAGTTTCAAAGTCCGCTGAATGATTAAACGCGTAGCCCCTGAGCAAGAGCAGTTTGATGAGGTAACGCGTTATGTCCCGGCCAGCAATGTCCAAGCGTCTGGTCAAATGGGGCAGTGCGTACTGTTCATATACCGGGCAAATGTGAGTGACGCCATCCCCTGAGTCTACAACCACTCCCGATAGGAGCCCCTAGGGAAATGACGGAGGTGAACTTTTCGGGTTTGCTTGCGCCCCATTTACTCTAGAGGAGCCTACCTGCGCGTAGAGAGTTAACACGGCTTGAATGGCAACGTAAGCGCCGGCAAAGCCATATTTTTCAAACATCACCTCAATCATTTTCTCCCGGTTTTTCGTGGGGTTCATTGGCGGCTCAGTTAGTAGAATCTGAAACAGCACAGAGCTAGCAAGTGAACGGCAAGGTAAGTATTGTCTTATAAATTGTACCTTGGTGTTTTTCGGGTCCAGATTCATCTTCCTGGGTCCGAAAGTGTAGTCCCAAACGTGGCACATATCCTCCCAATTGCGCACCACCCCATTCTCCATTGGGTAGTTTACTTCCAGCAAGGATCTCAGCGCTGACGCCTCATCGCCTACCATGAGATCCTGCAAAAATCGGAGATAAGCTGCAGTTGGAGGTTTTTTTTTGAGGCAGTTCACTTCACTAGTGGTGCTTACTTACAGGCAGGGTACTTGCGAGTTCCTGCTTGCGTGTAAAACAATGCATTGCGTTGTTAGCAGCATCGAAACGGTTTGTTAGGGAACAAACAGTTAATAAACGCACGACAGGGTAGTAGTAAAACTTTTCAGAGATTAATTTGTTAAGTGGTTTACATAAATTCTTTGCCGCGATGGAAAACACTTAAGAGCGCAAACACGGGAAAGACAACAGCAAACAATGAACTTACGTCTACATGTAAACCCTAGAAAAGACGAAACTGTTACAGATAAACTGGACTGGTTGGTTGCAACGGAGATTTAATAAGTAGAACTTACAACCTAAAGTACATTACCTTGACTTCGATGTCCCCGATTTTATTCACCGCCCTGATGATCGGTCTTCCCACCATGGAGGGGAATATGTGAGCAGGAAAATTGGAGCCTGCATAGCCGCACTTGACAAACTGGAATAAAATAGTTATCGCACTGTTTTCTTGTTGTTAAAACAACCCTAAGCCTCCTTTGGGGGCGTTCCAGATGTACTTACGCCGGTGCCATTATCGCAAACGACCACTTTCCTTCCTTCGTTGTCCATTCTATTTTAACCGATCCACATTGATTGCAAACAAGTGAAGATTCTCCAGTTTTCACTCACTTTAACACACGATTTTGGATTTTTACCACACCTAAACATTTGTCATAAGCTGACGAGCTGTCCGTAGATAAAGACTGATATCAATTGTCATTTTATTATTTACTTTGAAGTTTGAGTGTCAGATTTTTGACTTATGGGTTGTGTTGCAGTGACACCACCCAATCACCACAAAATATCCCCCAGGGGGTATGTTCTGTGCCAATCACTGATGGTCGCTTTGAGTTGCAAAGTGAAGGGTGTGGAAAGAAACAGAGTTGTGACAGGCGTGTCTGTCCTTCTCTAGTGCTGCTTTAGAAGTAAACTTTTTATCATTAATTCCAAATCAAAATTAATTCCTGGGTTTCAGTCATTTATTGCCTTTATTTATCAATTAAAATACGTTTCGGTGTATTTTTCCACCATCATCAGTTTTTATGTGTAGCGTTGTTGACGCTTTAAGCCTTGGCATACATTTGGAGTATTAATTTTGTCTATTTTGGACACAAAGCGAATAAAATACTGTTTATATTCTACGATTAATTATTAATTACCATTAATGTTACTAAAACCTAAGGTTCCTAGAGTATTCTTTAGGAACCTTGACCAAAACCATGAATCTGTTGGACCAGCCAAATATAATAAATAATTTTCTTCAAATTTGGTTTTTATTAGTAGTTAATCCTCGCTTTTCATACAAAGGCAATATATGGCAACGCCGATTTCGGTAAAACATATTCAAAAATCTATTTTACTGTTTTTTAAAAAGGAATTACTTACTTTCTGTTCCAATTTCCAACATTGACTTTAAAAATCCTTAAAAAAAAATAATAAAATAACTTCTTACCCGTTTCTGACATCTATTTAGGAGTTAATGTACAGAAAACAATTTTAGAATCCGCAATATCAGAAGTGCAACTGACATTTTTTAAGTTAAGGTGTTGTTTTGAAGGCGATATTTGAGGAGATATTTTTATTTAAAAGAAAGAAAGGTGTTTAGTTCGTGAAATTAGTATTAATAATATTATTCGCAATATGTATCATGAAGATGTTATTGATTTTTTGTGTGTATTATTTTATTTTTGTTAACAATGTGTTGTAATGTTCAAAGAAATATTATAAATATACCTATTGACTCTTATGTTTATTTTAGTATTGCTGTAAGTTCATAAAAATTCAAGTTCTGAACAATGCGCGATTTTATGAAGCCCTTATAATAATGAAAGAAAAATGAGTCTACCGATTTTTTACCATATCTACTGAAAAATGTCGAGCTTATCTACCGAAATTCGATTTTCGGACCTGGCAACGTTGTTCCACAGACTACTCACCATAACAGATTACAGAGTAACCTCTGTTGTTGTGATCTGTGCTCACCATTTATAAATTTGTTTGCGGTGAAGCGGTGCAGTGCTGGCCGATCATCTTCAGTATTTTGAGTGAAAACAGGAGTTAAATCGAGGGACTGTGTGAAAATGTTGGTGTTATTTGAAACAGCGGCGGGCTACGCTATTTTTAAGGTATTTTGTTTTGTAAATTTCTTAAAAAGTGCCACCAAACATTTAACCTCAAAACCGTAAAACACGTGCTGATTCTGATTTCTTTTAGCTTCTAGAGGAGCAAAAGCTGGAAGAAGTGGACAGTTTATACTCGGCATTTAAATCAGTGGAATCCGCCAATCAAATGTAAGTCCTGTTAATTTCGGCAAGGCCGCGCTTTCATGTTGGGGGGCCCCTCTTTTCCTTCATTTTCACGCTGTTTATGTTCGTTCTAGAGTGAAATTGAAGCATTTCGAAAAGTTCGCAGACATCACCGAAGCCCTATCAGCTACAACTGCTTCCATTGAAGGAAAAATCTCCAAGAGTCTGAAAAAGCTGATCAAAAAACATGTGGTAGATGAACACGAGAAACTGTTGGTCGCTGATTCTAAGCTGGGTATGGTGCTTTTTGAGGCAACATGTAACGTGGGTGTTTATTTCCCGATGATTTGCAGGAGTGGCCATTAGGGAGAAGTTCGAACTGCAATGCCTGGCAAACACGTCTGTGCAGCATCTAATGCGCTGCATTCGGTCCCAACTGGATAACTTGATATCCGGTATTTCCCGCAAGGAAATGTCTGCCATGGCTTTGGGTTTAGCCCACTCTTTGTCCAGGTATAAGTTGAAGTTCTCCCCTGATAAAGTGGATACCATGATCGTTCAAGCGGTGTCGCTGCTGGATGATTTGGACAAGGAGCTGAATAACTACACAATGAGGTGAGGCTACAGAACTGCAGTTGGATGGAGTTGGTATTCTAATTTGCTTGTAATTTAGGTGTCGCGAATGGTATGGCTGGCATTTTCCCGAATTGAGCAAAATCATTACCGACAATATCGCCTTTGTTAAGACTGTGAAATTGATCGGAACTAGGGAGCACGCAGTCGACACGGATCTATCCGACATATTGGCTGAAGAAGTCGAAGAGAAGGTAAGCATCCGGTAACACGTAGCTGATGAGGGATTCAGCAACATTTGTCTTGTACAGGTTAAAGAGGCCGCCGAGATTTCGATGGGCACAGAAATAGCTGACGACGACATTATGAACATTCTATGTCTTTGCGATCAAATCATTGACATGACCAATTACAGGCAACAGTTGTACGACTATTTGAAGAATCGTATGATGGCTTTAGCGCCCAACTTGACCATATTGGTGGGCGATTTGGTTGGTGCCCGACTAGTTGCACATGCGGGTAAGATTCAAATTTATTTTACTGTCCCCTCCAAAGGGAACGAAGCCCGAAAAACTCGTTTCTGACCACGGACAGGAAATATTTCTAACAAATTCGATTGACCAATTGTTATTTGAAAGGTTCCTTGATAAACCTGGCCAAGCAACCGGCGTCCACCGTGCAGATCCTCGGAGCGGAAAAGGCCCTCTTCAGGGCGCTGAAGACGCGCAAAGACACCCCCAAATACGGTCTTATTTATCATTCCCAATTGATTGGCCAGTGCAGTACCAAGAACAAGGGGAAAATGTCCAGGTAAGTCGCTAATCTTTTGCTGACTAGTCGCAATTGCTAACGCTTGGTGACCTTTAGAATGTTGGCTGCCAAGGCGGCTTTAGCTACCAGAGTGGACGCTTTGGGCGAAGACGTTGACATCAACATGGGCGTTGAGCACAAAGCAAAACTGGAAGCCCGTTTGAAGCTGCTGGAGCAGGGCAATATTCGAAGGATTAGTGGCACTGGTAAGGTTTTTTTTAAATTTTTTTATCTGTCCATCATGCATTACCATCGTTTCTTAGGTAAAGCCAAGGCCAAGTTTGAGAAATACCAAGGAATCAGCGAAGTGAAACACTATCCAGATGCTGCCGACAGCACGTTGCCATCCAGTAGTGAGCAGCGCAAACGAAAGTGGAAATCTGATGGGGAGATTAAAGAGGAGACGGTTTCTGTGAAAGAGGAAATCGAAGAAGAACCAGCAAATGGTAAGATTTTAACACATACAGATTCACTTTATTTCAGTCCGACAAAATTTTAACAGAATCCGTTTAATTGACCAGTTGTTCAACACGAGTTTGGCGAGTAGCGTGCAAATTGTCGACTTTTTTTTTAAGAAAAAGGTTAACGACTCCTTTTTCCATTATGAAAATTCTGTTTGAAATGCCTTCAAATAACTCACCACGTATATCTAGGTCTGTTTCTCCATAAACTTTCCCAATCTTTCCTTTGCCAGTTGCATTGGACTTCTGAACAATTCCTTCTTTCTCAACCTCTGGTAGGATCTTGATCATTTCAATGCCAACCTCATGTTTGTTGTCTGCAAATTTATTTAAAAGAAAACTGGTTAAAACACGTTCGCTATCGTTCTTGTTTCAGGCGCGGACGAACCTAAGCCGAAGAAGAAAAAGAAGAACAAGAAGGAGCCCAAGGAGGAGTCAGTAGAAGTGAAGGAAGAACCTGTGGAAATCAAGCAGGAAGAAGGTATGTTTGATTTATATCTAGGTTTTTTTTTGATTCGACGTTAGTCACCTAGTTTTCCGCACCCTGTACGGTTAGTACTGTTCCTGTTTTATACGGGGTGTCTCTTAAGTAATGGTAAAAAGTTGAACGGCGGATTTACGGGGGCAATTATGATAATTTTTAAATATCTCACGACCAATAACACCCGAAAAGATATACTTAGTTGGTATTTTATGGTGGGTCCAGACTTAACAAGACGCGGCAAAATTCATTTGATTATTCTTCAAAGCACCTCAGTCAATAACTTCAATACATTTTCACATGTTTATTGCGAAAGCTTCCACAACGTTTTGAATTTTTTAATTAACAATTCCTCTCGAGTAGCTATTTCTATGGTTTTTTCATACACGAACGTCTCCAGGTATCCCCATATAGAAAAATCTAGTGAAGTAAAACCTGAATTTTCTCTGGTGTTTGACTTGTCAGATCAATCCAACATTTTTTGCAACAGCGTCTTTTTTCGTTTCAGAGCAACCAGAAAAGAAAAAAAAGAAGAAAAAGAAGCACGCCAGCAGTTCTTAGGAATATGTACATTTTACGTGTATCGAGTATTTAGGGATTTATTTATAAGTTTTATTTTGTGAAATCAATATACATATAAAACTATAAATATGCGATGGCTTTATATTTGGTTGAGCAACTCTTGATGAACATTCAACGTACCTCGTTGAATACGCATTGAATAGGAATTCTGAATAATTTTCATTTGTATGAATCAGTATCTCAGACAGAACGTATGTATCTAGTGGGTCAGAACAGAAAATGTGTATATATTTTAAAGTATGTAAGGAGGAAAAGGATGCAAAACGACAACAAAAAACGCAGACTGTATAATTTGAAAAGTAAAAAAGTACATACAAAATAAATAAGTCCCAAAAACAAACACACTTAAAGCTAGTGGTAAATTACGCCCTACTGCTGTCCTCTGGTTTTTCCTTTTCAATACCCTTCAGTTCCAACTGGATTTCTTCCAGCGTTTTCCCGCGGGTCTCGGGCACCAACAGCACGATAAAAACTAAACCAATGGCACAACAGGCCGCGAAAGCGAAAAACGGGACGGAAATGCCAAAGTCATCTTGCATAATCTGGAAGAATTTGGCCACCATTGTGACGATCACTCCAAACCAGATGTCCGCCACGCATAAAGCGAACGCTTTCACGCTGGTTGGGAACATTTCCCCTAAAAAGAGCACTGGAATCACTCCCATGCCCAAATTGAAGATGACCACATAGCCCAGAAGAGCTACTAGGGGAACTACACGTAGACTGGAGACATCCAGATCGGTGTTGGCGCTGAGATAAAAATAGGTGCCTTCCAGAGATAGAGCTACTCCAGATCCGATGATGGAGACGATCAATAGAGGCTTCCGCCCGACTTTGTCCACTAAAAAGCTGGATACCAGGGCGCAGAGCAGCTGCAGGCTGAAGTAGATCATGGTGGCTGTGGTGGGCGACATGTCCCCACTTGCTTCATGGAAGATGCTCTGCGCGTAGAAGGTGATCACAGTGGTTCCGCTGAACTGCTGAATCGCCCTCAATCCGAACACAATGATCGCCGCCCGTCTATTGCTGGCCACCGTGAACAGCTCATAGAATCTACCCGCTTGCTCCTTTTCTACTCTAACCGATTCTATCACTCGGTTCAGCTCATTGGAGACATCCTTAGTCTGTCTCAATAGCTGCAGGTTTCTAGAGGCCTCCTCAATGTTGCCCTTCATCACCAAGTAGTAGGGACTGTCGGGCATCAGCCAGAAGAGCGCAAAAAACACTGGAGGCAAAACCGCGCACACTAACGCCGTATTGGTGATGCTCAAATACGAGCCAATGATGTTGATCAGCAACATGCCGAATATCATGGAGAGTTGCAAGCTGGAGCCCAACAGCCCTCGGATATCATAGGAGGCGATTTCTCCCAGATACATGGGAAAGGCGGTGAAAACCAGGCCGTCAGCCCATCCGCAGATGAATCGCGCCGCATACAGCTCCCAGATGGTGGAGGCAAATGCGACCATCAGCCACGCCAAAAGGTATCCGGGGGCGGTCATTAGCATGCAGTTTTTCCGGCCTATGCGGTCCACCAGGTAGGCGGTCATTATGGATCCGGAGGCGGCCCCAATACACGGCATGGAAGCCAGCCAGGAACCGTCCTGGCTGGACACGCTGATGTGCGAGGACGCGCTCAACAAGTAAGGCAGGGAGGGCGACGGCCAACCAAAGTGCATGGCACTGGACAGTACCCCCAGACATCCTGCAATAGGAAGACATTTTTCAATTGATACTCATAATTGCCATTTTTTGCTCAAAATGTCAGGATTTGGGATCTTTGGAACGCCCGATTTGCACTTTTCTTCAAAGGGCATTTTTCGATTCTTAGGACTCATTACAAATTCCTAACCTCTAAAGATGTAGAAGCACAAATAAGGTAAACACGTTTTTCAACAGCTAATATCCAAGAGGGGGATGGTTCTTGAGAAACCTCGAAAAAAGCAGCGTCATGTTCAAGTGGATTTTGCAACTAAAAAAAAAACCACGCAAATCTAAAACTTCTTGAATTCAA